ACGGTAATGCTGATGCCATGTCCCGCCGACCATGTAGCCTGGAATGTGAACACTGCTCAAAATCTGAAGGCAAAGAATAATGTCGGACGTTCATCTAACGGAAGAGTGGAAGGAAGAACAGCTACGAAAGTGTCAGCAGGAAGATCCTGATCTGGAGCTTTTGATGCATGGACTGGAGGTGGACAGAAGACCAACCAAGGAGCAAATGCAGCGGAAATCCCCATCGCAAAGGCGTACTGGGCCCAATGGAACAGCTTAAGATTAATATCTGGCTGTTTGCATAGGGTATGGGAAAGCGAAGATGGCCTGTGCTCCCGCAACCTGATAGTAGTTCCAAGGGTAAGAATTCCGGATGTACTCAAGAAATTCCACAATGGTCCTAGTGGAGGGCACCTGGGAATCACGAAGATCCTGGAGAAGGTTAAGCAGAGGTTCTATTGGGTTGGTTGTCGGCAATCGGTCGCAGAGTTGATTGCTAACTGCGCGGAGTGTATTGCAGCTAAAGGGCCGAAATCCAAAGTCATGGCCAGATGAAGCAATATAACTCCGGTGCACCTTTTCAGCGGATTGCCATAGATGTAGCCGGTCCATTTCTTATGAGCGCACAGGGAAACAAATACGTCCTTGTGGTTATGGACTACTTTAGCAAATGGCCGGAGGTATACCCGATTCCAAACCAGGAAGCTAAAACAGTAGCGGAGGTAATCACCTACAATTGGGTTGCGAGATACGATGTACCTATATGGCTGCACTCTGACCAGGGAAGAAATTTTGAATCGGCGGTGTTCCAAGAGATGTGCCAGATACTGGGTATCCGGAAAACTCGAACGACGGCTCTTCATCCACAATTAGATGGCATGGTGGAACGGTCCAACCGAACCCTGGAGGAGCATTTGCGGAAGGTCGTGGATAAGAATCAAAAAGACTGGGATGTCCGCCTACCCCTGTTCCTGATGGGATACCGGTCAGCAGTGCATGAAACAACGGGTAAAACTCCTGCAAGGGTAATATTCGGCAGTGAGCTCCGTTTGCCTAGTGATATGAAGTTTGGGGTGACTGGTGATGCTAGAAGAATTGGAAAAGAGACGTCAAACATCCTGGAAGAGAAGCTGAGAGAGATACATGCTCTTGTGAGACAGCGCACACAAATTACGAGTGACAAGATGAAAGCCAGGTATGATAAGGCGATGAATTCCGAGGGTTTCCAGGAAGGAGA